GATGAGGAAGGACAATAGGGTAAGGGGGAGAGGGGGGGGGGTCGTACCAACTCCCAAAAAAGGGAGGTCGGGCAGAGTCGACAAAAATCCCAACCAATGATGTGCCCTGATTGAGCCTCTGCACCACCTGAAAGTGAGCAACTATGAGGTTTCGTTACCATATGATTGTTATCGAAGCGTTACCAGTCAATAATCGAATGGTTTTCTTCCAATTTCTGACCCTACGATTGAAATTCATCCCGGCTAATCCGAGCCATACGTAATAATTATCGAGAACTCGGCGTAGACGAGGTGAAGCCCACCACAGGTGGGATTAGCCGACAGGATTAGGCATCCCTATCACCTGTATACGTAGGTGAACGGTAGCTATCTCTAAACACCCACAACCAGGTGGTTCAATTCGCTTCCTCATTCATTCACCCATACCTACACGGATGGCATCCTACAACAGCTACGAACGAGCCGAGTTTTTTGAGCCCATATATCACAATCCGATTTCGGTCACGCCGTACGACCGACGACTTCTATCCAGCCACCGGTAGCTGACAAGCCTCACCGCTACAAGAACCCAGTACAAGCGGAGAACCAGTGTAAGTCGTTCATTTCAAGATTTCCCAGGAGACATTTGCAGCGCCTCTCCTAAGATTTCAGTCTCATAGGCCTAGCACGAAGAAAGCTCTCAACAGAAGCACTTCTTCATATCCAATATTGGGAATCACTGCGGTGCATAAGTGATCCCAGTGAGGTCAAATCTCGCCGGAAACCTCGAAATCGGCAGGGCTGCCCTTATCACATATCTGACGAGCACTTCATCTGAGTGCCTATAATGGCCCACTGCATCTCATGTCACCCAGTCGAGTGGCTGGCTTGCTTTTGCATATAACTAGGATCTTGCCGTTTCTTATTCAGATTGTTAGGCTGCTGAGAAAAATATTCAAAATGTTCCCTCTTTGCTCCGTTCCATCACTCAATTCGATCAGTAGCAACAAACTTCGCCGGTATGTTAACTCGCAGTGATGTTGTCGAACATTCCTAATGGTCCAGATTTTGAAGTTTCCCCCTGTTTGTTTGACCTGATATCCTGAAGTAGCATTCCGTACGGATGGCGCCCGGACTGGTCTCGTCCTACCGAATGGGAACCGCCGCCACAGCTTCTTCACACACTTCCACCAGAACATCGAGCTTATGGGTACGGTAATTGTTTTCACTAAATTTTTCGACTCGAATCTTCATCGGCCTATCCTCAGATTCGAAAGAAAGTATTGCAACTTCGTGGTATTGGGGGACTTTTAATGATTTTTGTTATCGTAATCCGCACGAACTACTTCATTGAAATACTCCACCTTGCCCCAAAAGTAATAGTGTAGCAACATTATCATTTTCAGATATATGGACATGGCGAACCATATCGAGATGAAACCTCTAATTCTAAAACCGATAGCACGGGAAATGCCGGCGAACAAGCCGTTCAGATGTCAGGTAATGTTCATTACAAGGTGAAGCGATAAATATTCAGAACAATCACCAATGGATGAAATTTCAGCTATGCGGTAAATCGTTCTCACAAGCAGCGAATTTGACTGCACACAAACGGGTACATACTGGTGAGGAATTTTGAGTTTTTTTTTCGAAACATGGAGTGCAAATCCTCGAATAAAAACCCTTGTCAGACTTGACTCTAACCACGGCACGTCCTGCCAGGTAAATTTTTGCAAAAAGCAGGGCGCCCGTCCCTCCCCCCCACGCCCTAATTTTTGTACTCTAGTGCGGCCCCTTCACATCCCCATCTCACCTAACCACCTCCATAACCTTTACCGCTTCCTACCCCCCTTTGCGCGAATTTTTAGAGAAAAACCATCCATTTTTTCCTTAAAAAACTATCATCAAGCGGAGGCGGAACAGAGCGCAACTTAAACATAACAAAAGCGAGATATTTTTTCGATACGCATACGACCTATTCCTTCACCAGCCAAAGACGAAATCCCTCATGAGGATCATCATACGAGGGTCGCGTCTCTAGCGCTTAGCCCTCTACACGTGCTGACAAGGGAAGGATGGTAGGTCGAAGTGGCCATTTGAAATGAAATGTATACCGGCTGAAAGGTCTTCGGACGGGAATTACGAAACCGTCTTCCATATCTGCTGCGGACCTCCCAGAAAGAAGTTACGGAGCTTTTTTGGGGGAGATCACTACAAATTGGCGGCGTAAGGCTATCGAGATCGTGGCAGCATGGCCGAGTGGATACGTCGTAGGCTCACGCTCACGGATGCGTGTCGAGGGTTTGAATCCTTGATGCGTGTGCTCTTTTGCATTTTTTCGAAAGTGGTCCCTCTGCACTTCAAAGCTATTTTGCATAACACTTGTCCATGATAATGTCGTGATTCTGAACTGATGGAGCCATTGCGAACCATTCAATAGAAATCACTTCTGGCTGTTGTCTTCCTCTTTCTTTGATTTGAAGAGCATATACAACAAAAGTGCACTCCAAAGAAAGATTTTGCCTTCAAATGAATTTATTCTCCAAACGACATGACCGGAAAACGAATCCGAAGTTGTGCAGGAAGATGATTATAGTGGAAGTGGCGTTGATGTGGCAATCATGCTGGAGATCGCGATGGGCAAGAGCTTCATTCACCAGTGGCATAATGTTGAATTATGTCTATCTCAAAGAGTTTTCGTATCTGCTGGAAGTTTTCGGCTCGTATGACAATCTTTTTCACCGAGTGATCTCCATGAATCGTTCGCAATGGCTCCATCAGTTCAGAATCATTACATCACGACATTATCATGGACAAGTGTTATGCAAAATAGCTTTGAAGTGCACAGGGACCACTTTCGAAAAAATGCAAAAGAGCACACGCATCAAGGATTCAAACCCTCGACCGCGCATCCGTGAGCCCTACGACGTATCCACTCGGCCAAGCTGCCACGATCTCGGTAGCCTTACGCCGCCAATTTGTAGTGATTCTCCCCCAAAAAGCTCCGTAACTTCTTTCTGGGAGGTCCGCAGCAGATATGGAAGACGGTTTCGTAATTCCCGTCCGAAGACCTTTCAGCCGGTATACATTTCATTTCAAATGGCCACTTCGACCTACCATCCTTCCCTTGTGAGCTTACTTGCCGGTAGGCTGCCCCTTCGAGGGCTAACTGACATTGAACTCAACAGAAAAGAAGGATCCTGATTACGCCACAGGGTACACCAGGGTAAGCAAAATGTTGGTTTCAATAGGATTCCCTCCAAAAGGAGGATCTCGGTAACGACTCCTTTCACAGACTACCCCGTTAGCGAACCCCCCCGATACAGTCAATCAACTTCAATTGAACTATATGGAAGAGGGGAGTGAGAATGAGGAAGGCTTCTACCGTCGATCAACCCCCGTGGCACGCGGCATGCACTCTACTTCCATACAGAATCGTAGTTGCTATAATTTTTAATGCGATATGGCACATTCAATGATTTGCGTAGGTCAGCCGAAAAAATTTGTTAACATCTGCGTTCATATCCTCCCAGATCGATCTGGCACCAATGTTCATCGCTCCAAAAGAATACAGGGCTCGGTGGGTGGGGAAGTATGCAAACAAAATATGTTTTTCTCGAAGCAAATACGCTCCCTATCCTTCACACCGGCCAGTCGTTCCCACAGTAATGATACACGGTGTTACGATATAAGCTCCCAATCTGCGACAAGTGCACGTAGTGATTGAGAAATCCCTGGGGAGGGTCGATGTTTGAGCAGAGGGACAACTGGATCATATCACTAAGCCTCGATCAACACTAAGGCTTTCTTTTCCACATATCTGAAACCAAAGCGATTGACGATTTCCAGGTGAAAGGCCGTTTACGTGTCCCCTGTGCAGTCGACGATTTTCACAAAGCTCATCGCTCGTCACCCATAGAAGGTAAACCTTTCTATTTATCTTACTTTCTCTTCTTGAAATATCCACTCTCTCTCTCTCGCTTGCTCTCTCTCGCAATCTCTTGCTTTCTCGCACAAGAGATGTCCTTTTCCGATGGAAGGGAGGACTATTCGTCACCTACTTGAAAGGTAGAATTCATTCCTGCTACGCTACAGTCACTCAATGCTCTCTCTCCATATTTTCGTAGTTAGGTATCGTTTATAACGGAATTATGTGGAAGGTGTCCGGCTCAGGGAGGACGGGGGAGGGACCACTGTTCTAATCGGCTAGTTTTTTTGCTGGTCCCTGTTAATTTACTTTTGATGATAACACCTCAACAAAGTCGGCAGACTTTTGTCAAAGTGTGAACGAAGTCCCGCATCTCAAACCTGCACAGGAATTCACTGTCTGCCATAGAAAAGAGGGAAGGGGAGAAAGTGGCATCTGCCGTGATCGATGAAAGCAGTGAAATAAGTTCCAATTAAGCCAAACTGAGCCAATTTGCAGGAAACACGAAAATTCAAAAGGGCCGGTTCCAAAACGAATTGTTTGGTTTGCCGAGTATGGCCCAAATCGCACTCCGTCAAATTTCTACCCCAACTGAGATGTCCATTTCATTTTGGCAACAGTGAACCTGACTCATATCGCAGCCTACGGTAGCCTAGTGAGTACGGTAGCCAATAGTAACCAACCAGCAGGCACCTCGCACGTATAGGCGTGGTTGAGATAAGCGATTACCGTCTTTACGGATTAATTAGCTTATCCTCTAAGAATTGAGCAATTGCCGGATTTTTCTGATCCTATAAGGACATCCACCAGTTGGAGGACATTCACGGTCAAACCAAATACTGTTTATACCAGGCAAAATTTAATACTTGCATTATCAGAAAAGGCAAAAACAAGAGCCAAAGGGACTGGAAAATGCAAAATTAGGCATTGTAAGAAAGGATCTTTTCCTAATACGAACAGGAAATGTTCACTGGGGTCAATGTACTATTTTAGTGCACTTCCTCTGAATCATTCTTAGTTCGAGAACATCTTTGATGGTGTTTGACGCGGGTAACTGTGAACACAAGATGCGAGCTTTGTGCTTTCAACGACCACAACCTCTATTATTGGCGTAAGTGAGGCGTTCAGCACTTCGAGCGCTTTCGTCGCGCGTTTGACGCGATGCGCGATTGCATTGATCGTGTCGAACGCGCGAAATGGTGTCGCGAAGTCTGAATCGCTGCTAAATTGCTACGAAACGAGCAGAGAATCGTAATCGAACCTTTGTATTACTTTCTTTCTGAGACCGACAAGCTTTAGAGGTATATTCAGGTAGATGTTGGAATGGTACGGAATTGACCACATTCAAAAAGAAACCCCAAATCGCTTCAGTGTCATGCGGACTAGCGAAATGTTTGGAAACCTTTGGCTCCCATGCAAGGGTGATTCAAAGTTGTGACCATTCAAATAAGTTACCCCCTCGCCCAATCCCGGCTACCAAATACACCCTCTCCCGAAAGTAAACAATGGCTCCGGTCTCGTTGAAGGTCTATTTCTTATCTTCTGTCCATAAGACAATATTAGGTTGGTCGAAAGTCCGCCGACACTTTGGGATGGAATGTTGGTTGGTTTGGATATTAATTTAAAGAAACCGCAATGTTCAAAAGAATCACGAGATAGTCACCATTATTATCTAGGACACGTGCCCATCTTTCGGGCAGCTTCTCAAGCCCAGTCCTCCAGAACTCAGAAGACTGCGAGGAAAAGAAGCGGCCGATCTCACTTTCGAGTTGGCCTTGATCATCGAATTTTTTATCTTTTAAATGGTGCTTGAGAGCTCTAAAAAGGTGGTAATCACAAGGTGCTAGGTCAGGCGAATACGCTGGATGGGGTAGTACTTCCCAGCCGAGATCCATTATCTTTTGCAATGTCATCTTCGCTACATGAGGGCGCGCGTTGTCGTGGAGTAAGTAGACATTGGACCTTTCTGGGCGAATCTCGCGCATGACGTTACGGCTCACTCTTGTCTGGAGTTGGTTGGAGTAAAGGTTGGCCGTCACTACAGTGCCTACATCCAGTAGCTCCCAGTAGATCATTCCCTTGCAATCCCACCAGCAACACAGTAGCACCTTCCTTTCATGGAGGTCGGATTTCGGCACTGTTTTTTTTTTTTTTTTTCTGTGGGCGGCTTCTCCTCTCCTTGTGGAATCCAGTGGCGCTTGCGCGTATGGTTTACGTAGAGTACCCAGCTCTCATCACCAGTTACTATGTTCGCCAGAAAGTCCTTCCTGTGTGGGCGGAGAAGAAGAGTTTCTGCAACGTTGATTCTGTTCACCCTATCAGACATGCGCAACTCATGTGGTACCCATCGTGAAAGGACTGTCCGATAACCGAGGTTGTGCAGATGGTCGAGAACTGTTGAGTGGACGCAGCCAAGCATTGCTGCTAATTCACGGCTGGTTGCAGCCGGCTGCGTCTCCAAGGCGTTGAGTAAACGCTCATCATCCACTTCCTTCGGGCGACCACAACGTTGCTGTTGTCCTCGGAACGAAATATCTCTGCGAAGCGCTCGTACCAGCGGGACACCGTGGAATGGTGGACCACGTTACTCTTGAACGCAGCACAGATGTTTTCTGCTGCGGCTCTAGCAGAGTGTCCCTGTAGGAACTCATAATACACAATAGGTCGAAGAGTAGCCGGATCCATGAAGGAATTTAAAATACCGAGAATTGGCGCGAAACCTTCGTAGCTCTGCGTACTAAAACTACCGAGATTACTCTATAATAATTCGGCGCCAAAATATTTGAAAAGCGATTCCTTCTTTTTTTATAACATATTTTCGAAAGTGTCGCAGGACTTTTCGACCAACCTAATAGCTAAACAACGACAAAAAAATACGCCTACTCACAGGACGCACACCAACGAACGGCCATATCAGTGTAGCCACTGCGACAAGAAGTTCACGGACAGCTCCACATTGACGAAACATCTCCGGACGCATACAGGTGGGCTATAACTCTGGCTGCATTCCTTTCGAGCTTCTGATGCGTTCCCGATAACTGAAAATATGTAATTAAAGCAGCATTACTGTAGCCTTTTCAATGGGTAGTGACACCCGGAACCTCCCTACACGCACGTGATTACAGTCAGTTATCTTGTGATGGGAAATGTACACAGGCGTATGGCCTAATATGTGCTTTCTTTGACTGATACTTGTTCGTGACATCTACACACATGTGTGCCCCACTTCAAAGCCTGGGACGACGACAGAATCGCAGTTTATCTGACGCCATTCCGGGTTACGATAGCCTAACTAATCCAAAATGGCCTAACCAAAGCTGTATTCTTGCGGGTCCATCCTTCGCGCTTATTTCGTCCCACTTTACTTCACTTAACAAATGCGATTCTTTCCCCGTTAACTCTTTTCCTGATGTTAAGGAGCTCAGCTTTGGGCAGTTGGCGTTATAATGTAGTTGGGGAGAGAGAGAGAGAAAGAGAGAGAGAGAGAGAGAGAGAGAGAGAGAGAGAGAGAGAGAGAGAGAGAGAGAGAGAGAGAGAGAGAGGCAGCAGAGGAAGGAATCACTTGCCGCGTCTCTTCATGCCTTCTCAGAAAACATGTGCTTGTAGTGCAGGGCATTTATACTTTGCGACTCGAGCGATCTTGTCGCTTGAGTCGAGCTGCCGACCATGCTCCACCATTATCGTGGACCATCTGAATGACAAGATCTACTGATATCTCTTCTCTATGATATGATCAGATGGGACCTATTTATTTATACACGGTTTCTAAAGTAGCAGCAGGAATGTATGACATAGAGAAGAGCGAGGTGAGGTTAGAACAGCAGTCCAACGACTAGTAGAGGAGAACAATTAAATCACTCGAGTCACGAAGTATAAATTCATCCCCGCTTGAGCTACTTAGCACCAAATCATTTCACTGTTCTCATTTACATGTGACAATTTTCAGGTCAGAAACCGTACGGATGCGATATATGCTTCATGCGTTTCACACAATCCGGTAACCTTCATCGGCACATGAAGACACACAAAAATCTTTGAAAATTGGATCATCCATGTTTCTTCACAGAGAGTACCGAGCAATTAAATTATAGCCTCGCTCGTGTTTGTTTCGGTATTATTCTAGAATGTTCTTCCAGTTACTGCCCTCAACATAATATGATGACTGTATGCTTGGACAGATCACAGGGTTTCAGCGAATTCAGTGACCTACACAGCCCGGACAAAGGTGGTTGAAGGACTGTGCCCGCAACTAGCTTAAACCACGCCCATTTGCTTTTCGTCAACGCACTCCGAACGAGGTAGTCCTAGCGTAATTCGCCTGACACTGGTAAGACAATGTTCAGACTTAGCGATGACGCGCGTCGACGCGCTAACAGTGCGGGGTCGCTGCTTTGGGAGAGTATAGAAGAATAGGCCAGTACCAGACGGCGTGGTTAGGCCTCTCATTCTCTTATATCAAGTCAAAATGGTAGCATACCGCGCGGTATCGATATACACCTCTAGGACTGCAATTCGTCGTCAGCACAGGCATAGAGCACCGGTTTGGCATTGGTACGCGTCACGATGTCTGAACGCTGCTTGAGACCCCGTGCAGTCCTGAACGTGCCTAAGGACCCATTAGCTAATTCCGGTAAATTGGCGAAAGAGAATCAAAAAGCAAGAGGGTGTGTGCCATAGTACAACTATTGATTTGGCGCGTCACATGCGCGGCATTCGCACCGGGACCCAACTGATTCAACTTGGGCAGCGCTTCAGTATGCTAAGCTGGGAAAATTTTGTTAGCTAGTGAGCATTCTTGCAACGTGATACTTATGACTTATACGTGTAGTGTAGTTCACTGCGGACGGTGGGGCATGTCGCGGGATGAGTTTGGCACGGTGCCAAACCTCTCTACCATCTGTTGAAGCGAGCAAGTGAAAAGACTGTATCACGTCGTTCGTATCACTAGTTTCCGGGAGTTCGTTTCGTCGTTCGTATCACTAGTTTTACGGGAGTTCGTTGAAGGCTTATCGTTAGAGAAGTAGATTGGTCATCTTTCGCCCCCTGGCCTATATCCAACTAGTTTAGGGCACCCCTTTTGGTAACCATCTGATAAACGATAACATGTCCAACTCGAATCCCAATCAACCACAGTGATATACGATGAAAACCTTGCGGCATTTTTCACGTTTATTATGGCATTATTACAAGATATCGAGATCCAAACAATAATTTTACATTCACTGAGTGATTTCAAATGCAATAACGCCGCATTTGGAGCCTCTAATGAGGAATGACGACGACATTCAATAACCACAATAATCCACGTCAATAGAGTAATCAAGAAAGAAATGGAGGTATATGAGGTCTAAATTCCCAGATATTCAGTATTATCCCAAGTGATAGTCAAGTGAACTGCAATAGAAATGGCCAGTAATAATTTGGTCGAGGAGTCAACGAAAAAAAATCATTACATATCGAGTACTAAAATATCAATAATGACAATATCACCAAATAAAAACCATAGACAATCTGAAAGCTCAGCACAAAAACGCTTTGAACGACATTTGAGGAAACCTCTCCTGAGATCAGAAAAAGAGGTAAATGAGAAATGCTAACAATAACCAATATAAGAACTAGAGATTTTAAATAATCAGTTTGTATCCAGACAATCTGTACGAATCAGCTCATACTTTTCCATGCACAATGAACGGGACCACACGCATCCATCGATACAAAGCTTCAGCAGTTTCCGAAAGTTGCGTCGAACATCCCTCATGATCAAATACAACAATACTACATTTATCTTCATGGAAGAACACATTCACTGAAAAATCAAAATTTCAAGGTTTTGATTGCACCGCAAAAATGTCCTCACCTTTCCTCAATATCTTCCCTAACTAACTCGTCGTATCCCCGAATAAAAAAGAACATTCGCTGGCCCGAGTGACGCGCCCCTTCTGGAGGGAAAGCCTGAAATAGTGCCAGTAGCCAGGAAGTCCTTGAGTAGTCACAGGCCAGTAGTGTGCAAAGTGTAACAACTGAAGCCACTTCATCCTTCACGATCCGACCGCTTGGATCGCGCAATCACGACAGAAGCGCTCTATTGCCAATCGGTGAACCGCCGCAACCAAATTTGAGGCAATGAATACTTGCAGCGGTCCACCAATTAGTGATGGAGCATTACCGGTCAAGATTGTGCGATCCCAGCGATCAGATAGTCAAGTATGAGCGCGCTCTGACTGCAACAACTGCGGTGACGGCTTGGAAACGTCATGCGGCAGCGCAGCCAAAGTCAACCAGACAACCTACCAAAAACAACTGTCGATTAATGCGGCGTTTTTCCACATCTGACAGTGCACTGCATGATGCGCCACAGTTTTCGTCATGCGAGTCTTCTGCATCACATATTGAAACCGGCATTTCTGGAAAGAAAAGAAAATTTTGAAGTGATGAAAAGCACCGCCAAGGCTATCTATAGTACAGAAAACTCAAAAGTAGGGAAGAAGAAAAAGTTTCAAACGTACTATAAGCAAGTGTGATACGGGTCGGGATTCGAGCGGTCCCACGCAGAATAAGCCACACTTCTCGTAATCAGATCGACGGATAATTATGGAGCGAAAAACGCCACCGTAGGACACCTCTCGAACCTCTGAATCGTGCACACATGAACTGCCAAAAACACAATGTAGCTGACTAAGCATCACCTACCGTTTCTCACTACCCTTGGTTATGTTGCCTCTTGGTGATATCACAAAGTTTTTTAAAGCCGCCGCGATAAACCCCAGACTAAAACGCGGCTGGAATGTTATTGTATCCGCCCAGCCCATCGTGATTCGTTCAGGGGGGCACACGTCCTCAGGTCTTTGATCTTACTCGCGAAGCCTGTCCCCCTCCCTTGCTTTTTTCCCTTCCTTACGTTCCTTCTCTTTCCCCTTCCTTCTCTCCTCCCTTCTTCTTCTTCAAACTGCCTGGAACCAATTAGATGCTATCGAGGAAAATACATCTAGAACCCGATTCGCGTCTGGGAGCGCATGTCAGAGTAATGACAAGAACCCTTTAATATCTTCCCGCCAAGCGCACGCAGCGCACAAGTAAACCTACCGAGGCGCGTATTTTCTACTCACTCGGCCTAGTGGCTGCATTTCGCTAGACTCACCCCTAAAACTCGGTTCAGCTAGCTATCATAGTCGGCGCTCTGAGAGAAAAGTATAGACGAAATCCTGGCGTTTCTCCCAAGAAGCTGGATCGATACCTCTCCTTCAGTTTTTGCTCGACTTGGAGAGCGTAGGTGACTATGTAGACGTGGCATTGTCTCGTCGAAGGTTCACATCCCCTTTTTCAATTTCAATAGCGCTTCCCTGACAAAAGCTTTGACAAATCATGCTTACTTTTTCGATCCCATTCAGGGTTTTTACCAAACCCGGCGGTGGCGATTCCGGAACCAAAGATAGAGGACACGGTATGAGACCGTGATTCAGTAGAAGCGATTGCATTGCCAGATCAAGAAACTGTAAGGATGAATGGATGCATAAACATCGTCCAGTGTGCATATGGTGATTCGCACACGACATCCTGGAAATTCCAGACAAAATTATAACAAAAAGCAAAGGAGTAATCGGGAAATCACAAATCACAACGATACTCTAGGAACAAACCAGGTGGCTCCAAACTGATCATGACAATCGATAAAACAACACTTTATTGGAACATATACCCATTCAAAAATGCTGCAACAAAGCAAAACAAATAACCAAACAATACCTGATATAAAGAGCTCATGCCCGAATACGTCAACGAAGGAAGACATCCAAGACAGCGCAGACTAACAACAGTGGCGAGAAGGAAAGCCTATATTCGAGTAACTGACGCTATTATTTCTTTTCTCGTAGTGCCTTAATGAATTCTTCCATCTCCCGCAACTTCTCGCGATTATCGTGACGCTCTCGTTTTCGTTCCCTTTCAGCTTCTTGAGTACGTCGGCGTTTTCTCTTTTCCTCTTCAATATCGCTCCGCTTCGGATTTTTCGACTTTGGTTTGTCACTGTCATCTTCCACTAAAACAAAAATATTGTCGATTTTTATGAAACCAAAAATTTGACGTGCTTGGAAACCACAAATGTTTTGCTTTTAGGGCGAACAACGGCTAGCGAAAAGGTCATTAACACATTGGCGACAAGGCGCCTTTTCGCGTGTCTGCCGCGTGGGACAAAGCAGTTTTTCCCTATTTTCGAAGAATGCGCATAAATGCTAGGGCGTTTATACGCCAAAAAAATTGAAGAATGGTCAGAATTCTATTCATTGCAGAAATTCCCAATTGCAAGAAGCTAAGTCCAGGTGCGCTATTCTGTTTACTTTCACAGATAAACCCTGAAATTTTCCATGGAAATTACTACCCGCTCATTCAACGGTGAAGCGTGGAATCAAGGGCAATAAAGGAGATATTTTCGCGCCCCAGAGGTGGTAAACTGGAATTTTGGAAAATTCCGAATCTGCAACTGTTTTGAAGTTCCTTTATCACAATTACAGCTAAAATCCTGCATGTGGAGCTTTTCTCAGTTTTTACATATTCTCCAGGAGTTCATCTTTTTTTTTTTTTTCCTAGGAAACTGCTTTTCGTTTGTCCTCTGGTTAAAATACTCTCAATGAAAATCAGCTGCAATGGTGTTTACAGCTACTGTAATATTCCTACATATCGCCTTCCCATGGAGCCAATATGCAGCTGTTGAAAAAATTCGAAACGCTTCCCATCGAATTGGCTTTTTTACCCATGCCGCATCCCAGCAGTAGGACGCAATGTCCCACGCGGCAAAAAAGGTGCGTCCCAGCAGTGGGACGCAATGTCGCCAACGTGTTAAAAGGACTGATGGGAAGGGTCGGAGGGGAGACAAGACCACGCTCACTTTGCTCTTCTGCACGCCTAGGAATGGGTTTGTTAAAGAAGCTCAGTCCTAGAGACCTGACGTCGCGCATGCCCAGCCCCATGACGCCCCAGCGTCGGCAGCGTACAAGACTATGAACCATTCATACGGTGTTCATTCTTTTCGACTTGAGCTACTCAGTTGCGTAATTTGAGAAGAGGGCACATCGTGACGAGTGAAATGGTGCTGCCAGCAGGACCCCGCCCAAAGTCACGAAAATGGTATCCCCTCTCCTACCCGCGAAAAACGTTAACGCCCCTCCTCATGGATATAGTTCTCGTGTCCGATTGCTTTAAATCATTCTCAGACTATTTAGCTGTATAAAACTCATCGATGTAATATAAACAAACTTACAAATTTCTACTGATGGGCTTCTCTTCTTTCTATCCATTTTGGCTAAAGCTGCTCTGGCTCGTCTGTCCTCCTTTATCCGAAGAACTTTCTCGAATTTACTTTTTGCATTTTCCAAATCACCTTGCACTTCCAGCCTAAAACTCAATTCAACTGAACGTCATGCAACTGATTCACTTTCAGAACAACTTGTAATAAATGAAATAAAAACAATAAAAGCCGCGGTTTCTGGCTTGACGTGGGGTGGGACCCATGGTACTCAGCGAAGCTTGTTAGACCGCCTTTTGGAGACCTATAAATTCACTTCAGTAAAACCTCCTAGTTGACATGAAACAGCAATAAAAACCAGCGAATGCCAAAATGCTCCCACTCCTGAGCCTAATAGCGTGACATAATAAAATAATAAATATAGATGATTTCGGAGCGTTCAGACGTGCAACG